TTTCTGCTTTGTTCTGATAAGATAAACATCCTCATGTTGTATTTGCACTTGAGTAACTAAACTTAATCCATAGATTTTTTTTTTTCTTTTGTGTGTGTTGTGGAGTGGGGGGTTATTTTTTGTGTATTCGGCGCGATCCGATATAATTTGTGATCAGAACGAAACGGGTGGTTTACACCGATCCGTAACCCGATCGGTGCGCATGTAAACACTTGATCTGTTCGTTTTTATCTGATCGTGAAAAACTGACCTGACTGCGCATGTGAGACTTTGCCATTTCCGCCTGGCTAATGCTAATAATATTAGCATGTCAGGGGAGCAAAACTGGTCGGTGAGTGACACAACATTTCTACTAGAAACTTTGAAAGAGCTCAAAATGATCTGTATTACATGTAGCTCAGTCAGGGAGTGCAGTAACGTCTCCACCATCATTAAAACCTGTCGCGGGTCCATTTTGGGTGCTCAGGTTTGTTTACATTCACCCGGAAGTAGAACTTCTTCTTCTGTGTTTTTTTAAGGAGAGTTTACCACTCTGCGCATGTCAGTACTGCTGTTCAGAACAAAGCCCGCTGCATGTAAACGTTCGTCATGAACAGATTGTGCCCATGTAAACGATACATTTGAATTATTCAAACAGAACACATTTCAATCTGGTCAAAGAATTCTGCGCATGTAAACAGAGCTACTTTCTCCACTAACAGCTTGCCAGATAAGTAAAGATCCACACCCTCGCTGCTTACTGCCTTCTGACAATAAACCAGCACTGAAAACAACATTTGTTCAATCACTGCTTAATAAATTACACCCTTGCTTATGGAACAATAATTTATACCAGACCAAAAAAATAAAAATAAAAACTACTACAATTAGGAAACATATGGGCCTATGAATAATTAGTTTTGAATGGAGCATATTGGCTGCCATATTGCCATTGCATAATGCGGGGCTTTATTTTCAATAATTATTTTCCAGATTTCCACCTTTATCAAACTCTGGTTGTTTGGCATGGTTGGTGCCAGACATAAAAGGAGTTTCATGGTTCTCTTGGTCCTAAAACTAAACAAGAAGTATGTCTATGTGCCCCATCACAAAATATTTGAATAGTGAATGTTTGTAGTTTATGAGATGAGTGTTCTTCTGGAGGTGGCATGGTGGCACAGTTGATGGAGTTGTTGCTTCTCAGTGAGAACGTTGCCCGCTCAAATTCCAGAGTTTGCATGTTCTCTCCGTGCTGCATGGGTTTTTTCCGGGTACTCCGGTTTCAACCCACAGGCCAAAAACATGCATGTTAGCCTGATTTGGTAACTCTAAATTGTTCCTAGGTGAGAGAGAGATATAATGAATGGTTGTTTGTCTCGTTTGTCTCTATGTGTCCCTGTGATGGACTGGAGACCTGTCCAGGGTGTACCCCACCTCTCGCACAGTGATGGATGGACATGGGCAAAAGTGACCTCTGCGACCCAAAAAGGAAGATGCGAGTAAAGATAATGGGCGGATGGATGGATGTCCCTCTGGACTGGCATTGAACAGTCAGGGAATGAAAGTAAATCTTAACATTTTTGATTCAAGAAATTCAAGAAGGTAGGTGTTACACTGTGTATACGGACCTTGCCCACCATATGGCCCTTGTGCATTGTAAGGCCTGGCCAGCCTGGACTCAGCTTCCACCCCGGGTTTTGAGTGTTAGCATTGGGGAGTCTCCAGGCCCAGTTCCAGCTCAATCTTTGGAACGCAGAAACCTGGGGTTCCATTCGGGCCAGGATGGTGCTGCACATTTGGCATCAGCAGACTGCTGGCCATTGATTGGTTCACTGGCCCAGGGGGTCATGTCACAGATGAGTCATACTTCCAGCAACCGCTCCTTACTATTATTTCCTTCAGCTACTAGTTTCTGGCTGATTGGGTGAGAGAGCTCCATCTTTTTTCAGAAGAAATGTCAAAGCAGAAAGTTAAGAAGAAGTTAAGAAAGACCAGTGCCCTGGACAAATGACAAGGTGCAGTTATTGCTGAGCTGAGATCCGTTTGGGCTTGATATCACATTCCCGCCCACATTGAGGTGGCACCCTGCTGAAAGCAAACAAAACCAGAGTCGGGGAAGACTGGGGCTGGGCAGACTGTGGCCGGCCCAGGCCGGACCGAGTTTTACAATGCATAAGGTCGTTTTCACACCAGATAGTCCGGTAGACTCGGTTCGGGACCAATATTCATGAGCTTTTGTTTACATTTGAGCTGGTGCGTTTGCATTCACACTGCACTGTACAGTCGAGTCAACCTGTTGAACCAACCTATTCCCCCGCTCGCCTGTGGGGGCGCTGCACCAAGAACTACTGAAATAAACGACACAAAAACCTCTGAAGACACGTCTTCTTCTTCTTCTGTAAATAAAAATAAAAACGAAGTGGCATCAAGTTTTAGCAGTTTTAGGAGTTATATTTTGTCATTTTTCAAAAATGGACTTAGCATGAACAGAAGATGAGACAGAAGACCATGGAGAATATTGTTTTTCACACAAGGCAGCTGACGGCTCCATATAAGGTCAGAGAAATGCGTGTTTGTTTACCCTGTGGAGCGGGTCCTGTCTGTTTGCATTCACACTGTACTTGAACCGCGCTGGAGTTCATTTCTACTGGACCGAGACCTAGGTTTTAGCCCGGGCCAGAGTTCGCCTTTTTGTTCTGTGACAGAGTTCGATGGTGCGTTCACACCTCCCTAAACGAACCGGACTTTCTAGGAAAACGAGCTAGAGTTTGATTAAAGCGGACTAAACAGGGCTAGTGTGAATGCACCCTAAGAGGCAATTGATAAATCTACGGTCAACCCAAAGGCCACCCCAATCATTTGAGGAAACTATACTTTTAAGCAATATTTCATTTATAAAGCATAGTTTCCTCAAACGGTAGGGGTGGTTTGTTTGCGTACATGGCAGCAGCCACCAAGGATTTTGATGTGGCAACTCAATTTTGAAAGGGAAACTTTCTTACGTCTAGATGTCGCAACTCACCAAAATAGAAGTGGGTACCAGACTTATGGTTTAAGTTATCAGCTCACAAAATGCATGGACGGACAGACACAGGGTATTTCTAATTCCCCCTCTTCGCTCAGTGACGGGACAAATAGTGGGCAAGTGTAATATGTTTAATTTCTACAATTGAACCAATAATATGATAGATGACACCATTGGCAACAGAAGAATTTGTAATGTGGGGGGACACACTGGTGTGTGTGTGTGGGGCGGAGGGCTCTGGGGGTCCTCCCCCAGAAAAGTTTTAATAGATGCCATTTCCTGCATTTTGGTGTATTTTAACGGGTTGTCAAATATCTACGTTTATCTACATAAGTAAACACTTGATTCAATAACTGTTTTAGAGCGCACAGCACAACAAGTAGCCTGACAAACAGCTTTTCTTGTGTGAATACAGCACCGTCCACTTCTCTCAAGCATCCTAAACACCCTCCTTCCAGTCGACAACTGTCGGCACAACCGTAGGACTAAGCTAGCAGTGTGCAATACAGAGACGCTAGCTAAGATGCTACAGACATAGCGCTCCACTTCTCTCACACATAATAACCCCCCACACCGTTCAACAACTGCCAGTACTAATGTACCGCTAAGCTAGCATGCAACACAGAGGTGTCTCCCCATCTACCCTCATGAGCGCACTGCCAAGGCTGATGATCTCGAGGAAACACAGCATGTGGTGAGGTTGTTGTAGGTAACCAGGAAAACCTGGAGTGGATTTTTAATGGTTTTAGTGTTCTCCTATTAATCAAGTGAAATGGATTTGTTCACTAAGAAATAGAAACAGTGCTGGGTGAACTAATATTTCATGGTGGTGGTGGGGTCCAAATAAATATTTTGAAAATGTGTGTGTGTGTGTGTGTGTGTGTTGGGGGGGGGGGGGTGCACCCCTTCACATATAATTGTTGCAACGCCTATGGATACATCGCTTTGAGGGGATCTAATATTAAATTTGTTATGTGAGCTGGACTTAAAAAACTAAGACATTAGTATTAAATGTCAGCTTAAAACTTAAGTTAACAGCTAAAGTGTAAATATTAATACCACAACTGGTGTTGTGAATGCAAATAAATGTATACACAAGTGGTATTTATTTATTTATTTTTTAACTTTGAAAAAAAACCTGTTATGTTGGTGCTAACATGGAACATAACTGTTTTTATCCACTTTGGAGTAAGCTGTTGGGGGAGAAGCAGTTTTGTTTGGTGTTTCCTCAGACTGATGAAGCTTTCTGGATGGAAGGCGAAATGTCTCAGCACATAAAAAGAAACTGTCCAGATGACCTGACTGAATATTGTTGGATCCTTATATACCGTTTTTTTTTATACTTTATATTTTTGCTATTGTTGGATGTAACTGAGACCTTGAATACACAATTTCATTCCACCTCATGTACCACATGATGATAATGACAATAAAATTGACTTGAACTTTCAGTTTTATTCTGCTAATTTTATGTTTTGGTGCTTCTCTCTGCAAAATTCAGCTTGTTTCTGCCTTTCAGCTATATTTTAGGTAGTTTTTGCTAATATTTTTGCTAGTTTCCACTGTTTGTTCTTTACTTCTAATATTTTAAACTTTTATGCTCTCTTCAGCCTCTTTCTGCTAAATTCAGCTTTTTTTTTTTTTTTATTTCAGTTATTTTTTTGTTGCTAATTTGCTCATTTAATTTTTTTGTAGCTTTTTCAGATTTTTTTGTAATCTTTACAGCCTCTCTGTGTTTATTTTGTTCATTTCTACACATTTGTCATTTTTTGTACTCTTTTCTGCTTTTATTTTCCTACTTTTAGCAAATGTCAGCTGTTCAAATTCAACTCACATTAACAATTCAGCCATGAAACATTTCCAGCTGGTTTCAGCTGTATAAGCACTTTTAAGCAAAAATCATTTAACAAACAGTCACAGTGCATTTCTACAGAAAATGCAATTTCTCTAGTTTTAAATAATTTAGTTTTCAAAAAGCTATAATTTTGCAACTTACCTGTTTTATAGATCTCATATCGGATGGAGAAACCTGCTCCGTGGGTCTCATAATCTGACACGAACTTGATGAACAGCTGATTACCAGAGGAGACAACCGGAGAGGGGGCGATTTTCCCACAGTACTTCCCTACCAGCTGACCACTCTCATCCACGCCATCTCGCACCTCCACATAGTCATACCTGACGTGATTACAACAGAGGCCGTATTAGGTCACATGGTGCAAATACAGAAAAATACAAGAAACTTATTAACAATACAATACACATACACACCCGTTCATTCTCAGAGGACCACAAATACCAAGCAAGACAGCAAATTGGCAGGTAAGGTAGTGGAAACTAGAGAAATTGCATTTCCTGCGAAAAAGCAGTGTGAATGCTTGTTGCAGAAAAACTTGCTGTAAAACAGCTGAAATTAGCTATAAACAGCAAAAATTTGCTAAAAACATGCTGAAATGTAGCTGAATTGGATGAACAAGCCTAAGTTAGCGGAACACATTTTTGCTGAATTAGGTTTAAAAAAGCAAAAATGAGCACAAAAATTAGGAAAATAGCTAAAAAAAAGGCTGAAATTAGCACAAAAAAATTGCTGAAATTAGCTGAAAAGCAAAAAGAAACGAACTAGAAGGAAGCAGAAGGAACTGAAACGAGCTCCAAGAATGTGGAATTGGCTGAAAAATATAAATTTAGCATAAAACAGCTAAATAGTAGCTAAAATAGCATAACAAGCTGAAACTAGCAGAAAAAAGCTGAAAGGAGCATAACAAGCTGAAATTAGCCGAAATAAGTTAATTTGGCTTAAAGTAGCAGAAATTACAATGACAAACTTGAATTTATCTAAAAACAACTTAAATTAGCTAAAAAAAAAAAAAAGCTAAAAACCTAGCTGAAAAAGTAGAACAAGCTTAAATTAGCAGAAGAAAGCAGAAAAAATGTTTGCCCAATTAGGCTGAAAGAAAAAGAAATGGGCACAAAAAAGTGGAAATTTTCTGAAATAAAGCTGAAATCTGTGAAAAACAGCTGAAATTAGCTGAAAGCAGCTGAAAAAGTTTAAATTTGCACAAGGATGCTGAAAGAATCTGAAGCAGAACAGAATGTGAAAGGAGAAGTAAAAGGTTGTAAACAGATCTAAAGATTTGAAAGATGTAAAATGAGCTCAATTCATTTTCTAGGAGAAATAAAATGTCAGAAAAAGCTAAATATTTAAAAAAAACTAAAGTTGCACCAATACCAAAAGTCATAGCATGATTGTCCTGAAAGAGCAGAACGTTTTGATTATGATTTGTTGAAAGAGCACAAAAATTGTGGAATGAGAAAGAAGCTGAAAAAACGTAGAGAAGAAACATGGATCACAATAGAGTGACTGCTTCAGAAGTGTCCACACAATAAAACAGTGTGCTGATGAGGTCTTAGGTTAAAACAGGTGGTCATTATACTGACACACACACAATCTGAGGAGAATTTCTGCTCCAAGCAGCACTTTAATAACTGAACTCAGCTGAATAGTTGTCCATGATCACCACTCATCACAAAATTCAATTCAAATCAAAAATACTTTATTAATCCCAGAGGGAAATTAAATGTTGTTGTAACTCATCATCCTGGTTTCGTTAAGGAGTTGTTCTAGATGCTAATGGCTGTGGGCAGGAAGGATCTCTTGTAGAGGTATGTTTTACAATGGATCTGAAGTAGCCTCTGACTGAAGACACTCTGTTGTTGTATGACAGTCTGATGAAGAGGATGCTGAGAGTTGTCTATAATGCTCTTCATTTTATGAAGAATCCTTCTTTGTACAATCATCTCCAAAGGTTCTAGAGGAGTCCCCAGAACTGAGCCAGCCTTCTTTATGAGCTATTTGATATTTTTAAGCCACTTGCTCTGGTGCTGCTACCCCAGCTGATGATGGCAGAAGAGATAGAACTCTCTACAACAGACTTAAAGAAGATATGCAGCATCTTGCTGCAAACATTGAAGAACTTCAGCTTCCTCAAGAAGTACGGTCTGCTCTGTCCCTTCTTGTAGACGGATTCACTGTTGCATTTCCAGTCCAGTCTGTTGTCCAGGTGAACCCCAAGATATTTATACAATCTCCACCACCTCCACTTCTTCTCCTATGATGGAAATAGGGTCGGACCTGTTCCTGTTTCTCCTGAAATCTACAATCATCTCCTTTGTTTTGTTCACATTCAAGATGAGATGATTGTTTCCACACCATGCCACAAAGTGGTCCACCAGTTCCCTGTGTAGTGAACCTAACCTGATGTCAAGACTAGCCTAAGGTCAAAACC